TCATCCAGTGACCAGTATATTTGCCCTCTACCAGACTCCTGTACCCCACTAGTCTGGGTCTGTCACACAAACCATAGTTAATAGTTCCGCAATTTCACATTTGAGTTCTTTCAAATCTCTTGGGTGAATGCCATCTGGTCCCGGTGACTTGTTACTGTTAAGTTTATCAGTTAATTCCAAAACCTCCTCTAGTGACACTTCAATCTGTGACAATTCCTCAGATTTGTCACCTACAAAGGACGGCTCAGGTTTGGGAATCCCCCTAACATCCTCAACTGTGAAGACTGAAGCAAAGAATTAATTGAGTTTCTCCGCAATGACTTTATCATCTTTAAGTGCTCCTTTTGTATCTTGATCGTTCAGGGGCCCCACTGGTTGTTTAGCAGCCTTCCTGCTTCTGATGTACTTAAAAAACATTTTGTTATTACCGTATGAGTTTTTGGCTAGCTGTTTTTCAAACTTCTTTTTGGCTTTTCTTATTACATTTTTACACTTAATTTGGCAGTGTTTATGCTCCTTACTGTTTACCTCACTAGGATTTGACTTCCACTTTTTAAAAGATGCCTTTTTATCGCTCACTGCTTCTTTTACATTGCTGTTAAACCACAGTGGCTCTTTTTTAGTTCTTTTACTGTGTTTTTTTTAATTTGGGGTATACATTTAAGTGTGGCCTCTATTCTGGTGTCTTTGAAAAGTGTCCATGCAGCTTGCAGGGATTTCACTCTAGTCACTGTACTTTTTAATTTCTGTTTAACTAACCCCCCTCATTTTTGCAAGTTCCCCTTTCTGAAATGAAATGCCACAGTGTTGGGCTGCTGAAGTGTTCTTCCCACCACAGAAATGTTAAATGTTGTTATATTATGGTCACTATTTCCAAGCGATCCTGTTATAGTTACCTCTCGGACCAGATCCTGCGCTCCACTCAGGACTAAATCGAGAATTGCCTCTCCCCTTGTGAGTTCCTGTACCACCTGTTCCAAGAAGCAGTCATGTAAAGTATCGAGAAATTTTGTCTCTGCATTTCGTCCTGAGGTGACATGTACCCAGTCAATATGGGGATCATTGAAATCCCCCACTATTATTGGGTTCTTTATTTTGATAGCCTTTCTAATCTCCCTTAGCATTTCATCGTCCCTATCACTGTCCTGGTCAGGTGGTCGATAATTGATCCCTACTCTTATATTCTTATTAGAGCATGGAATTACTATCCATAGAGATTCTATGGAACATGTGAATTCATTTAAGATTTTTACTTCATTTGATTCTACATTTTCATTCACATATAGTGCCACTCCTTCCCCTCCCCACCCTGCACGACCTGTTCTGTCCTTCTGATATATTTTGTACCCCGGAATGATTGTGTCCCATTGATTGTCCTCACTCCACCAGGTTTCTGTGATGCCTATTATATCAATATCCTCCTTTAACACGAGGAACTTTAGTTCACCCATCTTATTATTTAGACTTCTAGCATTTGTGTACAAGCACTTAAAAAACTTGTCACCGTTTATTTGTCTGCCTTTTTCTGATGTGTCAGATTCTTTTTTTATGTGAATGTTTCTTCTCTCATCTGGCCCATACTTTATCCTCTTCTATCCTCTCCTCCTGACTAAAACCTAGAGAATCTTTATCAATAGACTCTCCCCTAAGAGAAGTCTCTGTCCGATCCACATGCTCCTCTGCAGCAATTGGTTTTCCCCCATCTCTTAGTTTAAAAACTGCTCTGTAACCTTTTTACTGTTAAGTGCCAGCAGTCTGGTTCCACTTTGGTTTAAGTGGAGCCAATCTTTCCTGTATAGACTTCCCCTATCCCAAAAGTTTCCTCAGTTCCTAATAAATCTAAACCCCTCCTCTCTACACCATCGTCTCATCCACGCATTGAGGCTCTGAAGCTCTGCCTGCCTACCTGGCCCAGCGCATGGAACTGGGAGCATTTCTGAGAATGCCACCATAAGGGTCCTGGATTTCAGCCTCTTCCCTAGCAGCCTAAATTTGGCCTCCAGTATGTCTCTCCTACCCTTCCTTATGTCATTGGTACCTACATGTACCACGACCACCGGCTCCTCCCCAGCACTACACATAAGTCTATCTAGATGCCTCGAGAGATCTGCAACCTTTGCACCAGGCAGGGAAGTCACCATATGGTTCTCCCAGTCATCACAAACCCAGCTATCTATGTTTCTAATGATCGAATCTCCCATTACGAACACTTGCCTTTAACTAATGACTGGAGTTCCCTCCCCCGGAGAGGTAACCTCAGTGCGAGAGGATCCCCAACATCATCTGAAAGGAGGGTCCCAACTATGGGAAGGTTCCCTCTGCTCCTGTTGATTGCTCTCCTTCCCTGAGCCTTTCATCCTCTTAACAGTGCAGGGGCTGTGTGACTGGAGGTGGGACAATTCTACAGTGTCCCGGAAAGCCTCATCAACATACCTCTCTGCCTTCCTTAGCTCCTCCAGTTCTGCCACCCTGGCCTTCAAACCCCATATGCGGTCTCTGAGGGCCAGGAGCTCCTTGCACTGAAT